TTGAACAACCATCTATCATATTAAGCTTTTAGTTTTTAGCTTTTAGCTTAGAAGTCCTTAACAAGGGTGTGGCATTTAATATAGTCTACATTGTATACATGTAACTTTGTTTAATTTAGTTCACATTAAAAGTCCTTCCCAATCTTTTAGAAGAATTCATAAGCCCAAACATCTAATAGGTCTTGGGTATGCATTTCCGACAACACTAACCCCATGTTTGGTTTGGGGGAAAAGGAGCGAGAGGAAGGGAGGGGAGGGGAGGGGAGGGGAAGGGAAGACAATATCCTTCCATTTCCCTCTGTTTTGCTCCCCTCCCATTCCCTAGTTTGGTTATGCTAAAATTATAATAAAGAAAATTAAAGGGGAGCTCCTCCCCTCCCTTGCCTTCCCTTCAATTTTTGCTATTCAAATAGCAAAATTTGTCCTACTCCCATCAAACCAAACAAGCTATAAAGGATTACTACATCCTTGCATCATGTTTGGTTGGAGGTAATGGCAATTCTTTCATCAAACTATAAAAATAAGATAAATTTGGGAAGGATTAAGAAATGGGTATTCCTTCATTCTTGAAAAGTTAGACATTAAGCTTTGCTTTTGCTATTCCTAGCTTCATATGGAAGTGCTTGTTTTTAAGGAGTATCCACCACCGCCAACCAAACAAGTCTTTACAGATTAAAACTCAAGAAGTTTACCTCTGGCTTCCAAGATCCGAAGCTTGAGCAATTCCGAAAACCGTAAAATGTCAAAGCGACAATCCAAATCTAGGAACATCACTAAATGCCCGAGTCCTCCATACTTGACGCCATCCGACTCTTGAGGCAGGATGCAGTTGATTGCAGCCTGCGATTTTGAACAATCCCACTTAGATTAATGTAAGTATAAAGAAAAGAGAACTGGTGGATCAGAGTTGAAGCAGGATTACCTGAATCAAGATGTGGGTTTTGGCGGAAGGAGAAGGACCAACAATTTCGACGACATTGCCGACCCGTAGAGGAACCCGATGAAGAGGAGGAAGAAGCAAGAAGGACCGATCCGTCTGAACCCTATCGAGCATCTCCTTGGCGCTCTCGTCTTCACCAAGCCACTCTTGGGGACCCATTATTGCTTTTCTCGATCAAAATTTGCAGATAAAAAGTCCGCTGGATTGGGGAAACACACCTCTGCATAAAAACTGCTCGAACAGCGCTCGGCTAGGCGCGGGTATATTGAATCTTTTCATGCACATTTTATGAAATTATTTAAATATTAAAATTTTTTTGTATATATTTATTATCAAATTAGGGTAAACTACTACTCTTAAAAAATATAACGATAGGTTAATTATAGCTGTTAAATTTAAATTATTTTATTTTCTAAACAAAAATTTAAGGTGATTTGATAAAAAAAGTTTAATTATAAATTGCATCAATATTTTTTTAGTAATAATTTATTTTAATGGAGACAATTTTAAAGAAAATTTGGACATAATCGAATAAGAACAAAATGAAGTCCATGCCCTAAAAAAAGAATAAAAGGGGATTTTGACGGTTAATGAACTTAATTTTTTTTAACAAAACTATTACTTAGCTAAAATAATGCTTGCAGAAAGTTTTTTTTTTTTCCCTAAGAAAGAGTGCTCCAGTTAATTAATCAATTTAATTAATTATTACAAATTAAAAAAAAAAAGGGGATCATGGCCTTGTGGCCCAGTCCAGTTGTTCCATTCCATTCTTTTTTTTAATGGCCCAAAACTAGAATATGGCCCGGCCCAAAAGAAAAGGAAAATGAAAAATAAAAGAATAAGAAAATAAAAAGACTCCGAACTCCGACCATATCATCAATCCTTATTATTAATGGTGCTTCCAA